TCTCAAATGTTATATTAATTGACCTCTTCGAGAAAATGGGTTATATTTGTCCTAACGAAACCAACGATTACAGAAAAATATGTCATTCTGCTCTCGTTCTCAGCAAAAGTGGACAGAGGAAGAGAAAATTGATCTCTGCTTAAACAGTAAAACTAAATTTTTGTTATGCATTCCATATTTTATCTTTATGTAATCTTAAAGCAATGCTACCCAATGCCAAAATCAATCTATTAATTATTATTAATCTCATTTTCTTTTGATTTTTGCCTCTGATTTTTAAAAAAAGACAGGAAGAGGTTCTTTTTTTAAAAAAAGAGGCTCAGGCAGACACAAATATATAATATAAATCTTTTCAACGATCAGATAAATAACTGGAAGCAGGTTTATCTTCTTTTTATAGATGAGTATAAAAGACTAGAGGTGAGGTATAATGAAATAAAACAACTCTAATGGGCTGTCAGAAAACCACTTGCAGAAATAAAATTATAATTCATTTTGGTGTAAACCCAATATCAAAGAATGAATCTAAAATGGTAAATATATTAAGGATTATACATCTTCTCTAAAACCTAACAGATTATTTTAATGTACATTTAAAATGATAGTATAAGGAAAAAAAGAGGAAGCACCAATATTCTCCTAGAACAGAATATACTAGGATATGGCCTTATCCACCTTAAAAACTGCAAGATTTGAAACATCCTGGAAAGGAGAGGAGGGGGTGAAAATTGGTATCAGAGGGGAATTCCGAAGAACACTATGACAGGGTCAGAGTCACAGCTGCAGTGAGTTTAAGTAACCTGTCCTCTTGCTCTCTCCAGTATAGCACAAAAATAAAATAATAGATGCGCATGTTTAGATTACCATTAAAATATTTTTCTTGCTATTCATGATGTAACCTTCCATTTATATCAACTATCAATTCTCTGTAATTCATAGTGAAAGAACAGGAACCTTAATGTAGATTGTTTCAAAATCTTTTCTATTATTTTGGAAAATTTGATCTTAAAAATTATTTGCTTTCCCTCTTATGTTTAGTGTCAGCTGATGTCCAGAGAGGCTAGCAGATTATTTATTCTCTAGCAGGAGAAAGTTGGGCTGAGGTTAGAGAAAAAAAAAGGCATGAATAATTTCACAAAGTGAAAAGGCCACCTACAGAAAATAGAGTATGTAATTTATTTCAGTGCGCACTTTCATGAATGTGTGTACAAATAGATATGCAGAAAATGCAATCTATAAATACCAGCGCTCTCTAACCAACTCCTGCAAGTTTTTGTTTCAATGAATGTCAAAAATTCTTTTCTCACAACGTAACTTCATTCAAACCACC